ACAATATACCCCACTGAAGGCCTAAATTTGCGCGCTTATACTACGATATTATCTGAGCAGACAATTTCAACCAGAGAGCCGACACACACGCGCATGGTTGCTGCTGCGGCTTATCTGGTAAGAATGACCTAAATCTACCTAAGCCCACGGATTTCTGTCACACAGACATAGATCGTAAGATTTATTTCGTCCGCGCCCAAAAGTACATGTAAATGTAAATGTAATGTAAATGTGTCAGCTTATACGCCGTAACGGCGCTTCGCTGCCGCGCGACCACCACCAGTCGCGCGCGGGCTGAGTATACCGCGAGGACGCCCACCCCTGTGTTGGCTGGAAGTTAGAACCGAGGATTCACCAGCTGATAAAAGCAACTCAACCCTATATCAATGGTATCTCTGAAATGGCAGCGAGGCTTTTATTGCCTTTTGGAGTCAAATTTGCACACCAGCCAACGGAAACCATTCGCAGCAAACTCTTCAAGGTGAAAGATAAACTTAGCAAAGAAGAAGAAACTGGTGTGATTTATAAGATCTGCTGTCGGAACTGCGACAAGTACTACGTGGGACAGACTTGGAGAACGCTTGGCACAAGGCTACACGAACACAGCCTAGCCATACGTCGCCAGGTTCAGAACTCCCTGATGTCAGTGCACATGGATGCTGAGAATTATCAATTCGACATAGAGCATACCAGTATCCTCGGAAGGGCTAAAACCCGGCAAGCACGTGAGTTCATTGAAGCCTGGCATTCAAAGCAGAACTCGATCAATAAGCACTTGGACACTGAAGTCGCTTACGAGGCACTGCGAACCAGGCCCCTGAAACCGCACTGATGATGTTGCCTAGTCAGACAACGAAACGTCTGCACAATAATCAGTCAGCTCGGAGAACCGCCCAAAATCCGCAGCAACTCAACCGTTTGAACGCCCTAATGTGGATAGAAAGACCTTCCCATGAGGTCTCTATCCATTAACAATTGTGGATAGTTTTTCTTGTTTCCCATTTGCGCGATCTGTTTTCAACAATGCTACTGTGATACGCTATTTCAGTCAACCTCTCGAATGACCTCGTACATATCTCTTTGGCGCCGGAGGAACAGTCACTTCCCAATAAAGAAGGGTTGCGGAACCGCATATCATCCAAAAGTCAATAGTAAAGACGACCACTCAAATAGAGGATTGTGGAGAGATTACTCTAGTCCTAAGTTCCTGTAGCCGGTTGACTGGTGGGAATTCGTCTTACACAACGCGCTGCACTCGATTCCATTAACTGTGTGCATCAAACAAACGTGATTATGCACCGGAGACAGTTCAAACAACCGGGGATCACTGCAAACCTTTCCCATTCACACTTGGTTATTATCACTAAATCTAGTCCTGCTAAGAAAGAACCCCAAGTTCTCCAAGTTTGATCCAGCTGTAAAACAAACGGATCCCGAGTGCCTTCAAGAATTGTCCGGCGTTGTCTGTAGAGCATTGATGTTAGACAGCCCTGACAAGTCCGCAACGTTGGCGTGTGCAAGCAAGTACTGGGTGGCGATACTCAAGGTAACCGTTAAGAAAGAATAAGATGCAGTGGTGTATGCATGTACTACGTACACACGTGACATGAGTGGTGGAAAAATGATCATCGGAGGGCCATGAATGACCGTTTACTGTATCCCTAGCTGTCCCCATTGGACACATTTGGGACGAATTTCGGTCTATCAGAAGGTATTGCGATGCAGCTTTAACAAAGATAGTGAGTACATTTTATCCGGTTGTAAATGCCAAATCACACTAACGTAATACTAAAGTTGAGGCTACACGAAAAAACTGTGTGACCGAAATTCATCTAAAATGTGTCACAGTTGGGCGAAAAAACATTCATTTGGTAGCAGTCCACCGGCCACCCACGCTGATGAAAGTGTGATTTTAGTAAAAAGTAACGAATAATGGGTAAAGAGTAGTGACGTTGAAGATACAATGTAATATTCCTGGTAATAACCACAAGGTGGTCTCCTTTGTATTTACGAATAACGCCCCAGTCCCAAAAACGAATGCGCCCAACCGACAAATGTTCTCAAGGCACTATGAACCAGTTGATTGGGACTCGTTTGCTAATTTACTCAGGCAAGTTCAGTGGGACATTTTTTTCCTCACTGACGACCCGCAAGCTGCAGCTGACGCCCTACATAACTACCTCAATCTCTGTCTCAATGGTCTATCTCCTAGCAAACAGAGACACTTTCCTTCAGATCGCGAAAAGGCTGTTTCACGAAAAACAGATACAGAAATCAAAAAACGTAATTACGATATACCGCAAAACGAATAAATTCTCGTCATTGATGCAACACCACAAATTGTTCACATCGCTGGGGCTATCTTATCACGCGGAAAAGATTGCTGATGAAAAACGGGCTCTTACCAGCCGATTCAAAAATCATGAACTGATCAGTTTTTTTTAAATCGCAGAACAACTAAACGTATTCAAGACACAATCTCACTCGTAACCCCAGATGGCCACAGCATAACGGACCCACATAAACTAGCATAATGTTTACGCAATATTTTTGCACATCTTGCAACGTAGATACCGAACCCTTATGCAAGGTGGTGCTACTAGTCACAGTTGATCAGCTCAACCGTATCACATCTGAGCTCTACGATATACAAAAGCTTATCAGGTGCATGAAAGTAAAATATTTCGGGGGTCCAGACAATATTCCCCTGTAGTTGTGAAATTGGGCGGGGATAACATCTCTCTGCTATTGCGGAGTATGTTCAACCCATTCTTGAACACCGGCAATTTAGCAGCTCACTGGAAAAGAGTCATAGTTGTTCTGCGACATAAACCAGGCTCACTTTTCGGGCTTAGAAATTATCGCCCAGTAAGCCGCACATCAAAATTATCAAAAATTATGGAGCGATAGATCAAAGCTAAAACTACGAGTTTCTAATATCAGGAAAGCGAGTAAACAACTCGTCACACGTATTTTCGAACAATCAATCTTGCACTTTGTGTCAGCTGGAATTGTAAACAATGTAACTGCCTCGCATGATCTTGATATGCTGGCTACGACAATTTACCTCGACATGCACAAGGCCTTTGACTGGGTGCCTCATGAGCATCTGATAGCTCAATTGGTGTCATACGACATCGATGAACTCCTGCTTTCTTGGTACAAGTGATGCCTCACAAATCGAACACGGGTGGTACGAATTCGAGAATACAAGTCTGAGCCTACACCAGTTACCAGTGGTGTGATACAAGGAAATGTCCTTGGGCTGCTACTGCTTTTAATTCATGTTAACGGCATGAATTCGATGTAGTGAAATTTGGTAGACCACAGCTGTTTGCCAATGATAATAAAAGCATGCACACTCTCAGTCCGGAAGCCTTCAACGATACCGTTAACATAATCCCACAAGACCTCCAAGCGTTGGAAACTCGGTGCTAAAAGTGGAAAAGGTCTTTCTCCACTGACATGTTGCGTGATGCCCCACAAATGCGATTTGACTCATAGTGGCCGGACTCTTAATGGAAAAACACTAAAACTCAGCCCTATAGTTAGAGACCTAGGATTGTAATATTCATGCTTACCTGAATTCCATGAGAAAGTCGGATACGAGACCGCGAGAGCAAGATAGAAAATTGGATTGGCATTCAGGACATTTTCCCAAAATGAAGCAATCCTACATTGTTACAAATCCGTTGTTTAATGGTGTACAGCAACTCAAAAAGCGCGACCGTATTAAACTGGAACAAGTACAGAGAGCATTCACAAAGCGCCTCCTTGGTTCTCCTTCAAAACTGGAATATTCTGAACTCTGTGATAAGCTCCAGCATGATGCGCTCTGGTCACGGCGCACGAAGCCTAACCTACTCATATTCTTCAACAGCATACACAATAATATACGTTTCCAACCTCGCCATGACATTGATGTAATCAGAAGACTATAACATGCGGAATAAACAGAACTCAGTGGCGGAATGCAAGTCCAGGGCAAACAGGTCTGCCAACATTCTCCTCAACAGGTACGCCAGAGTCTGGAACGAGCTACCACCCAGAATACGTGTCTGCACCCTTGAACACAAATTTCGGAGGGACATTAGCAAGTTCTTGTCTGTACAGAACGTCATCAAACTGTCTTATTGTTCCATGACAAGCCAAGCGAACCAACAGGGTCTAGTTTTCATATGACCCAGTGCATGTTTCACCACCATACTACCTCGCGTGGTCTAGCTGCTTTATGTGCGGGAGAAAAGTTAAAAGCCAGTCAACATAATTACAATTCGTTGTCATCCCAGGCGTTCATACCTGATTTGATATGCCATTTCCCTGATCCACCTGTGATCAATGTTCTATGAAGTACGCACGTACCGTATCATGAGGTAATAAGCGTGTCTCACATCGTCGAGAATAAAAGTTTATTATTTGTTTAATACAATACTTAAACACAGTGTGCCAGTTTTTCGCTTAGTTCCTTTTTCCATCCGCGAGTGACTAAAAACATGTCCGAAGGGAACGACTGGCCATCCATCTGTGCGGAGAGGGTATGTCCAGTCAATGTCGACCGAGAAGGGCCGTGATATGTTTTCCGGACATAAAACGGCTTAAGACCAAAGAGCAAAAATCGACTTAGCAGATAAAAATAAAGTAGCAGACGTCTAGACTGTGTCGTCGAATTGTTTCGTCTTCAACGCGAGTGTCCTAGCGAGCCAATGGTGGTAGTCTAGTAACTTCAGGAACAGGATAGACAGGCGTCACCAGTCGGAGCAGCTGGTGCAGTCATCTGTAGCGCAAAGTTGACTGGGATGGGGGTCAGAGAGGGCTGCTACGAAGTTATATAACCGATGTATGATCGCGCCTCGATCGAGGAGCTGGCAGCTGTACATGACCGTGTACCGTGGACGGGGTGTAGGCGCAAGTAAGGCATCAATGATGATCAAATGCATAAGAATGACGCATAGAGAGAAATAAGCATGAAAAGTGATAAGCAGGACATGGCTGAAACTCACTGAAAAACTTTCGGATGAAAAGGTAGACGGCAACAGAAAGGATGCCCAAAAGGTGTCGATGATGGCAGTTTCGGTGGTTAACGCAACCTTGGGAAATCTGTTGCAGGTTTCTGAAAACGAGCTCCAGATCATCATGTGGCCAGAAAAGTAAAGCTCCTCATACAGGCCATTCTTCACTCTTATGTACCAAGAGTCAGATTGCGACTTTGCCCGCAAGTCGAGATCTCCAGTCTCATCTAACTTGGAATGATCAGGCGGAGAACAGCATAATGATCTAAAATGACGTCCAGCTGGAAACCAGTCGACGAGAACTTTGACTGATATCATTTCGAGCATTTAGTGAAGAATAGGCGAAGTTAGTCCAACGAGTGGCTTGGCAGGCAACGCGACGGCTGAAGAACAGCCCAAACCCAGATGAGTCAGAAGCGGCCGGCGAACTTGGGGGATCAGACAGGACAGGACAGGATGCAAAGACGAAATAAGCATTCGCCTAACGAGCGTCTCGTTCCGTGGGTCAGTAGGCAAAACAGAGCCCTCAGCACTTCAACTTAATAGTAGGTTCTTGCGTCTATAATGGAGAAAGACAGTGGCAAGAGCAGAACCACCACAAGATAAATATGAAGTTGCATAAGCTACTAGCACGTAATTAAAGGCTGTCATGAACTCTCTTTCGCTAGCTTTGTATCTAGTCGCCTAGACTCCGACAGCCAAATTGATACCGTAACCATCGTCACCCCGCCATTTCGTGAGAGCAACCCGAAACATTGGTTTGCTCAGCTGGAAGCATGATTTGAATTGCGTGGCGTAAGATCAGAAAGAATCAAGTATTACCACGTCGTGTCCGCGCTTTATCTGCAAGTAGGCGACAACATCGACGATATCATGGATCCGCCGGCAGAGGACTAGACATAAGAGGAAGTTAAGGCGGCTGTCCTCAAAAGGATAGGTCTAGCAGATCGTCGGTGCGTCAGGAAGCTCTAGAGAGAAACGGAGCTTAGTGATCTTGAGCCGTTAGAATTATTAAGAAAGATGCAGAAAATGATGGAAGAAGGTCATCAGCAGTACGCCGGTACGCAGTACCGACGCTTCGCTGCTGGGTAACCACCACCAGTTAAGCATGGGCTAAGAATACTGTGAGGGTCGCCCGTTCCCTACGCAGACTCGAACACGCGCCCACGGATCACAAGGCAGGCTTGTGATCCTTAAGGATACGGGTCGGCAAAAGATGCGAAGTTTGGCCAAACCCGAAGTGATGGACTACGCATTCCTTAGGCAGAGGTGGCTGCTTAGATTACCACGAGAAATGTGTTACGTAGTCTACACAAGTGCCAACGCGCCAACGTCCAAATGACCGATACCACTGAACGCATTTGGGAATCGCATGGCCAAATTGCGCAAATTCGGTCTACGCAGGATAACTATATCATCGAAATTAAAGCGTAGATTGCCGTATTCACTGAACAGTTTGATGACCTCACAGCTTGTGGAAGTAGCTGCAGACGCCGCTCTTCAAGTAGTGAGCGCCCCACTCGATCCACGTCTCCCTCGAAGTCACAGCACAGAACGTCGTCCTACTGTTTCTATCATCAGCGATTTGGCCAGCAGAGCAGATCGTGGCGCCCATCCCGTTACACCAAGCGAAACACGTAGGGAAACGGGTTGACCAGCACGTAGGGGCGACTGAGGTAAGTGGTCAACGCAGTCGCTTATTCTTCGTTATGGATCAGAAAACGCGAGTACGCTACCTCGTCAATACTGGCGCAGAAGTCAGTGTCCTTCCTGCTGATCCTAACTACATGACCGGAAAGGTGACTGGTTCAGTACGTAAAGCTAACGGGACCAACATTCGCGTGTATGGTCAACGCCTGCGCATTCTCAACCCTGACCTGCGACGTTCGTTTCGGTGGAAATTCCTTTTCGCCGACGTCCAGAACCCCATAATCTTGATGGTGTTTCTTCAACACCTCAACCTGCTCGGCAAAGCTAAACGACAACAGCTTATTGACAAGAAAACAAAACCCATCGCTAGAAAATCCAGCGATATGGCAACGCCCAACCCGGTGTACGCTACTGCCAACTTATTACTACTTGAGAGTTTTCCAGAAGTCTTTTAACCTATGTCGCCTCTGTCAACAGCATCTACCGCTACGTCGCATCGCATACTTACTAAGAGTCCGTCCGTCTCCACTAAAGCCAAGACTGACTCCGAACAAGCGAAAAACTGCTCGTGCGGAATTCGAGGAAGTGCTTGAACCAGGGACCGCCTGGAAGTCTAGCAGTCCTTGGTCTTCGCCACTTCACGTGATGCCCAAAGTGTCTGGGGACTAGCGATTATGTAGGGATAATTGCGCGCACAACAACATACCGGTTCCAGACCGATATTCGATTCTAAATATCCAAGATATCACCTCCGGTCTACATGGCGCTCGCGTACTCACAAAGACCGATCTGGTGCGAGCCTATCACCAGATGCCGGTCTTCGATGAGGATATAAAGAAAACCGCCGTTATTACGCCAGCTGGACTGTCCGAGTTTTTGCGAATGCTATTCGGCCTGCGTAACGCTGCGCAGACATTTCAGCGCTTCATTGACTTCGCTTGACAAGGATTTGACTTCGTCCACCCGTATATCGGCAATGTCTTAATGGCCAGTTCATCGGAAAAGGTACGCCGAACACACGGCTATTTTTCGAACGGCTGAAGGCGCAAGTCATGGTTAACGTAGAAAAATGCATTTTCGCGCAACTGCGCACACAGTTCCTCGAACACCAACCTGATCCCGAGAGTAAAGGCAATCCCCGACTTACTTCATCCAACGAATCTAACTGCCATTCGACGCTGCGATGGTATGAGAAACTACTACCGCCGAACCTGTGGGTAGGCAGCCGACTTCGAGGGATTGCCGAAACACTTGGCAGAGAGGGACGGCGATGTACTCAGCTATCGTTCTGAGGAAGCTAGGATGCAATCCGTCCGGGCCTGGGGAGGAGTTCGGATCCAGTTCGAGGAGTAGCTTAGTGACTACTACTTCGGGGTTAATTTCAACTTGGTCCATAGAGGAGTGGTGTGCAGGCAAACAGTTGTTGAGCAGTGGTGACTCCACTGAGTAGACCGAGGAATATTGCGCAGCCAATAGGTTTGCTTTTTCATCATCACCGTAGAGAACGGTACCTTCCTTAAAAGAGGATAGAGCGGGGATTCCACTACCAGTTTTGGCATTTCGCTTCAAGTAGGCAAAAGGTTTCTTGGGACAGTTTTGGGATTCCATGGCCAGTCTATGTTCATATTGTAGTCTTTTGTCTCGTTTTCTCAGGGTGCATAGGCTTCTGGCAGTTTTGTACTCTAAGTAGCTTGATGTCTATCCTGTGCTCTTGAAATGATCCCACAGTTTTCGACGTTTTTTCATTAGGGATCTTACTTCTTTATCAATCCATGGGAGTCCTTTGGATGGTGGTCTGCTCTTGCAGTTTGGAACAAACTGATCAAGGAGCCGCATCATCATAGATCGTAGGCGTTCCCATGCGTCAAGCTCCAAGGATTGCGGAATACTCCAGTCCATGTTACTTGCAGTCGTTCTTAATCTGGGCTGGTCAGTACGCCAGAAATTTCGACGCAGTGTCCCCTGATCGTGAATTGTGAGGCGTCGTGTCCACGAAGAGGAGACTGTACAGTGATCACTCGTCCCAAGAGGTTGGAAGATCGTTAGATCTGAGACATCAAACGGTGCCGAGGTGAGAACCAGGTCGAGAATGTTTGGTGTCTGACCAGGGACCATTCGCGTTGGTGTCAAGACATGCTGTGTCAGGTTGCACTCGTGAACGGTATCAAGGAGATCAACTTCAAAGGAGTCAGGTGAGAGATCATTGTGAAGTAGGTCCCAGATTACGTTGGGGGCGTTGAAGTCCCCCATAAGGAGACAATTTGTTCCTCTCCTGTTGGTTCGCACGGAACGTAATAAGTGTGAGCCAGGTGCTGCAGGGGCTCTGTAAACCACCCCGACCATCAGCGATTGGTATCCGTCCATCGCAATGAGGCTGGACCTTACCGTGGTGCGATGGTTTGCGTGCCTCAGAGATCCATTGAGCTATGCTGGGTGGTGCTTTTTTTGCACCTTTAGAGCCACTCATACCAGATTGGTCAATGGTTAGAGGCCAGACAAACTCAGCCTCCTGGTCCGCCAGGTTGGGGGTTGGAATGGGGGTGGCTCCTCATTTCAGAAAACGGGCTCTGTAGTCCAGTGCCAAAACCCGCTGCCTTGCGATAAGGTTCTTGAACCAAAGGCTTTGGTTGAGAACCCTAGTCGTTCTCCTGTCTAGGCCTGGGCAACCTGACAGTATTCTGCCCACGCAATACAATGAACCTTTCCTACAACAATTTCTTGATGCTCTGGCCGTCGCAGAGGATAATCAACGGCGCCCTATCTGCTGCATCGAGCAGGGTGGATAGGGGTTTGGATGCTACTGCAAGTGATCAAGTGTCTGTAATGAGTTCGACGAGCACCGCTCCAGCCGAACTTAACAGCCTGGACTGCAATATTGAGGATGTACGCAAGATTCTAGCTAATCTTGACGGGACGAAACCTGCTGGGCCAGATGGTATACACCCACTAATCCTCAAGTCATTATCGACCATAATTGCACCTTCTGTAACTGAACTGTTTAACAGGTCACTATCCACTGGTCAACTACCGGACGACTGGAAATGCTCAGTCGTAAAGCCTATCCCGAAAGGTGGTAACCCTAGCGAAGTGGATAACTACCGGCCGATCTGCCTGACGGCAGTTTTGGCAAAGACACTCGAGAAGATTGTGAAAAAGAGCCTTCTGCAGCTACTCGAGTCGAAAAACCTGTTAACCTCCGCACAGCATGGTTTCCTGAAAGGTCGTTCGTGCATCACCAACCTACTGTTGACGAGGCACGAATGGTTACAAGCGCTGAACAAAGGCCAATCGGTTGACGTCATTTACATTGACTTCAGTAAGGCTTTTGACAAGGTTAACCATGCAGTGCTCCTTGACAGACTGAGGATGTGCGGTGTTGGTGGTTCGCTGCACAAATGGATCAGCAATTTCCTTATCGATCGGAAGTGGAGAGTCCAGGTGGACAACCATCTAACAGACTGGTATCCATCGAGCAGCGGCGTGCCCCAAGGCACTGTACTGGGCCCGATATTGTTTCTAATCCATATAAACGATGTGCCTCAGCTACTACAATCACATTGTGCTTTGTTCGCAGATGACTTGAAAGTGTGGAGAGTAATCCGCACACTCAATGATTGCGATTTACTTCAGCAGGATCTCGACCGCCTCGCAACATGGTCTGCAGAGGTTAAACTTCCGATCAACCCTGCCAAGTCGCAATTCATGAGGTTGGGTAAGTATGATCACGGCCGAACGTACACAGTGGCTGGTCAACCGTTGCATCCCGCTCCTTTCGTGCGCGACCTCGGTGTACTCTCACGCTGTGACCTAAAATCCATTGACAACACGAATAGGCTGTACCAAAACAGCCTTCGTATGCTTTGGGCTCTCAGGCGCAGCTTTAGCACTTGGTCCGAAGAGATTGCCACT